TGCTACTCCTCCGAAGAAGGTTAAATAGATTTTATTGGTTTGCATGTAGTCTGAATACTACATCCATCTTATATTTTCTCTTGTTATTCTTTTCCCTCTTTGAAATTTTTATTAGAATGAAAACAGAATGGTTAGTGACTGTGATCATTAGCTTGCAGATGCTGCCTTATGTAACAGATTGTTAGTGCCACAAACACAGGCCTATGAATTCTATCATCCAGTCCCTGATGTAGCATGTCAATTCTCAGGGAATGACTTATACTGAATAGTGTTTGCTGTTGTTCATAAATATATAATGACAGTGATCCTTAAGCAAACTTAATCCAAATCACTCCATCCTGCACTAGTAATGATTGCACACCCAGCAAAGAACTGTGAGAGACAGCAATCCTACACTGTCTATAATATTAGCTATTACTCACATACGGTGTCACTAACACTCCATGGCTAAGGGCTGGCCTCCAAAATATAGCAGAGCATCTGCAGAATTTCTAAATTTTCAAGGTTAAATGAGAAAATGAAGCAATGTTATCAGAAAAATGAAATGAGCAATGAAAAGGAAATATGGTATAGTTTTGAAGAACAACATATTTTTCTCTCAGAATTTATAGAGGCTGAAAAAGCTAAGAAGGAAATATAGTAAAGGTACCCTCAAGTTACCTGTGGAACTAAAAATGAGTACATGGAAATACATATCCCAGTCTAGGAAAAGCATTCAATAATTTAATGATAGCATTTCTCTATAAATTTAGCACAATCTGATTTAAAATACCAATATGACTGCACGTTTTACAGGGAAAAAAAAAGTAGAAAAGTCAGGACAAAAATGGAAAATAATAATGAAAGAAAACTGACTCTACTGAACATGCAAACATTTTGAGGCACACCATTTTCAATAGTTTGTATTGGCCTAAAGTCTTGAAAAGGCAGTGGAAAAAGAAATCATAGGTACAGACACATATGTAAGGGGATTTAGTATATCACACAAAGTAAAATTTTGGTAGATTCTTAGGAAAAATGTTGTTGAAATGACTAGTGGTTTAAAAATGACTGACCTCATTCTTATATCTTATATGAAAGTAAATTTCAAGTAGAGCAAGAATTAATGAATATATAAATAGGAAAATAAATGAATCACATTAAAGACAAAAGGAAATGTAATTTTTTTCCCTTAAACATCTGAAGTGAAAAATTAAAACCAAGGATGTATAAAAAATTGATCAATTTAGATAAAAATTTATTTCCAAAATTATCATACAGAAAGTCAATAGATAAGCAATGACTGGGAAAACCATTTTGAGTCCATATGACAGTCTAAGGGTTAATACAATCAGTGCTCAAATAATTTTGTAGATAGAATTCTACAACTGATCACTAAGAAAATGAGAAAACATGGCCAAATAATTCACAGAAACACAAAACAAGTAATACTCATTAACAAAAGAAAACTATTAAAAATCAAACTTCCTCATAATTAAATAAATTTAGTCTTAATTGACCATTTTCACAAATTAAGAAAAGTTAAAATTTTAATATTAGCTAACACTGAAGAGAAATATATTTAAATATCAGAAATGCTGTAGTAGAGGATAAATTGATGTGTTTCATACTCTAAAATCTGTAAAATCTACATATCTTTGACTCAACAATTATACTTCAAAAATGTATCCTATAGATATATTCACCAACTTTGCAAACTGTATGTAAAAAGAGGTTCACTATAATATTCTTTGAATAGTAACATTTTTAAAAAAGAACAAATAGCACAACAAACCAAAAACACTGGAAACAACTTAAAAAGAATTCATAAAAAAGAATGGATTGAGTCATTATCCAGTGACAAAATTCAATGAAGAGATCTACTTATAAAATATGCTTAAAATCCTAGTGACATTGTTACTCAAAACAAATTAAGTTATGGAACTGTTTCTAAGTTTATCTCATTTATTGTTTTTCTCTTAATAAGTGTAAATTGCATATAAGGTTATACAGACAAGTTCTAGCTATACATCATTTCTCTTCACACAACTCAGTAAAGTAATACTTGGAAGCCTCCAGCTGCCTCCTGTTCACAGCCTACATAATTTAAGGTCAGCACTGATTTCCATTCTCATCTACCAAATCTAACTTTCTTAGCTTCAAGTGCACCTTGTTTTGCAGTCTCTTATCTATCCCAAGTATTCACTTCCCTTCATGACTACTAAGAACACAATACAAGCAAGTAAACTGAATGAATTATTTATATCAGAAAACCTAAGTGTTACAGATCAATGTCAGTATTCTATAATGCGAAGATATTAAACAGTCTATAAATAGTCAGAGATTTAAGTACTCAGGTAAATGGATAAAAAGCAAATAAAATCTATCAATTCTATCATTATATTAATCACATTGATTCAGTTTGTGTATCAGAGTTAATTCCTGTAAGTCAATTGTGTTCAAAGGTGAAAGATTTCAAGAGGGACAGTACTTTCCAGCAACATGTACTGGCACATATTTGTTTGAGTTTTACAAGAACAAAAAAGCCATGTTGGAATTTGAAGAGATTGAAGAGATTATGAGTAAAGCTATAGGGAAGTCAGTCTATTCTGCAGTGCCCTAAGTCAGTTGAAATGAGGAGAGTGGTATAAGGGGATTTGACCTGTCCTTGACAGATTGTTACTGTTTATCATCTCTGGGCTGTGTCCATGCCATTTTCGATCTGATTTTCCTAGGCAGCACAAATCTTTATGAATTCCTAAGTTCTGAAAAACACATGTTCTGAAATCTGCCAGTTTTTGCCTACTAATTCAAACAAGTTACTCAATCCTTCCAACTATGAAATGTACCATACTCATCTCTTCTGTGAAGTGTACCACAAAGCTTATGGCCTCGGGCTGTTGAAAGGGTGTAATGATATGAAAAATTCATGGTGTCTACCATGGTTCCTGGAACATAGCAAACATATTAGAACATGCAAACCTTATACTCTTACATTGTAATCGTGCATTTGAAAATCACCATCTAAGGTGGGGTTTGTTTGAGCTTTTGTATTCCTATACCTAGCACTTATATAAAATAACTCTGAAACAGGTTATATGGCACAGTCTTGACTCTACACTGCCTGTATGATTACATCTCCGTTGGGTCTGCCTGTCTTCCATAAAGCTGTAAAAAGTTCTAGTGTGGAGGATGCACCACTCTTGGCTTTCTCTTCCTAATGCCTAGTGTGATTGCACACAACAAATGCCCAACAAATGTTGTTGCCTTGGCTCTCTGGCAGCTGGAGAGATGCAGAACCTCCAGGTTGCAGTATTTACTGCCTGCATCATACAGTTGAGTAACTAGTTAGCCAACCATCCAAGGAAGAAAACAGCAGGCTGATTAGAACTTATGGTAGCAGTTCTAGTGGGTCGATTTCAGAATTCACCTTCCCACTCAATGTATTTAGCTGTTTCTCGAGGAGAGACACTCTGTGGCTACATGTCATAATTCCCCTTCCTAACCTGGCTGCTATACAGATGGAGGCAATTGGTGGAGAAAAAGCTCCTTACTCCCTCAAGCTTGGTAAATATCGGACCAGGAATGAGTCAGCTTTGCTGGGAAATATTTAGCAAAACACTCAGAATGTGTGCAGGGTAACAAAGAACATCATTCATTGGATGCTAAAGAAATTAACTTCTTTAGACGAAGAAAAGAAAAATCACTTGCTTAATTCAACTATGTTCAGTCTCAATTACTAAAATTGATAAAGTATTAATTTTAATTATAGAAAAATTAAAGCTGATGTTTTAAGAAGCTACAATTGGTTCTCGGTTACCTTGTCAAGGAAGCCATTGGCAACACAAGATTGGTGTTTAGAACTACATCTGTGCTTCTCTGCTTCTTTTTCTGTTTGTTGTTTATGCCTTACGTTGGCGACTGGAGACTGTCTAAATAGGATGAAATTTCAGGAGCCCACTAGAGCCTAGCAGAGAAGGACTGAGCATTTGGATTGCACAGGAAATTGTCTGAGCACAGTAAGTAGCCTTGTTGGTTAAGATGATATGCATTTGGGGTGGCCTGTTGCCTGTTTGGGGCGGCTTATTCTGAGGAGTTCTGAAGGAACGTCTATTTAGGTGACTTGTTGCTACTGTTGCTATTTTCAAACTCTGGAGAAACACAATCTTTCAGATGCAAAGCTTGCAGCTGTTACTGCAAACAAAATAACAGCAGTTCATCCTTGACCTGCCTTGGGTAAATTCTTCACTAAGTTTATTCATTTATAAAATAATGTTGGACAAAATCCATTCTGGCATCCCATGGCTCTTTTATTACTCATATTTCATCACTGCTTAAAAATTGGCAGAACCTCATGAATCTAAATTCTGATTCTAGATACTCCATCAGCAGCAGCAGGAAAATGCCTCCATATTTACTCTGGAAGGTAATCAGGACAGGTGGGCATGACAGCACAGAGGAGAGGAAAGCCGGCTTTTTGTGTACGGGTCTGGGCTCAGCACCCAGCTCTGCTGCTCCAGCTCTGAGTCCTCTGCCTCATTAAGTCTCAGTTGAATCATCTGCGCAACGGGGATAATGGTCTCTACTTTGTGATTACTGAATGTTCCTTATGAGCAGTAAGCAGCTAATAGTAATAAGCACAAAAAAACTGAACAAGGGATAAATTCATATTTACAAATCAGAACAACTCTGGATTTATATCATATTTACAAGGGGCATTTCACTCAACTATCAGTACGTATTTATATTTCTCTACTGATGTGAAAATGTTCGTCTTCTATTTTGCAATTATCAGGAAGGTTATTGTAGTAAGGTTCTTCAAGAAGGATCCTACTCTCCTGTATTGCTGAAAAGAATTCACAAACCACATGACTGATTAAAAATGATGATCGCCTCACACAACAGACACAAGCTTGATTTCTCCTTTCAACTTCAGTGAGGTAACAGTCCTGCATTTGTGACATAGCAGCAGGTTGCCATGGCGATGATAGCTTTATCAGCAACTCTGCCTTGCAATGACTTCACAGCAAGGTTACCAAGAAGCAGATGGGCTGTGAAGGAGACGAACCCTCTTGTCTAAACACAAATAGCATTGATAATTAATTAGCTGAAGCAGCAGGGGAAATTATGAAAATATGTAAAAGGTAAAATGATTTTTATTTATCATAAATGTGATAGTTCTATTTCTCCTGCCAGAGGAAAATCACATCTTTCCCTGCCTTGGGGAGGATGCAGGGCACACTGAAAAAAATATGGCACCGACTGGGCTTCAACTTCCAGACATTTGATTTTGTTGTTGCTGTTGTTAAATTACCAAAGTAGCTTTCTTCTGTAACTCTTTTAAGGTCCAAAAGTGAGACTGTAAAACAAAGCAACTAAAACCACCTCAGATCACAGATGATTACATCCCTGGTTTACGAAGGCCCTGCTTGAACATGCCAAGCCTGTACTCAAATCCTCCTTTGAGGGTTTTCTCAAGGGTGGGGGCTCAGACTCCAAGGCCAATGCCTGGTTTCTTCTTCAGCCCTTTGTCTTGGCTTGCAGATGGGCTCTGCCTGCTGGGGGAGCAAACAGTCTTTGCCCTGAACAAGCACTCAGTCCATGATGTCTCTATGCTTTTCCTTATTTCCGGTGTCCATAAGAACTGGTCAGGGTCCACCCTGAGGATCTCATTTAAAAAACTTAATCACTTCTGAAAAGTCCATATCTGTAAATATATCCACATTCTGAGATACTGGAAGTTTGACCTACAACATAAGACTTTGGAGGAACTATCCTCCCTTTACTTCTTGTGTAAAATGCAAAGTGTAGCCTGGCTGTAGTGGCTCATGTCAGGAATCCCAGCACTCAGGGAGGCCATGGCAAGGGATTACAATTCCAACCCAGCCCGAATAACTGAGTGAGACTGTGTCAAAATAAGCCCAAGGGCTAAGGAGGCAGCTCAGTGCAAAGTGAATGCTCTAGGTTCAGTCCCCAGTCACACACACACACACACACACACACACACACACACACACACACGAGTTATTCAACACCAGGCACAAAGACTTTCCTAGACAAATCACCTCTTTAGCAGCTTTTGCTTCTGAAAACATCACGACAAGGAGCACACAGCAGAAGCTCACAGGGTTACTACAGTTCCAGAAATCCCTCCTCTGTGTAACTTGCACTGCCTTTGCCCCCGTTTTCATCTCACCTGTGCACTTCTACTCAGCCTTTGTTGTGTGTCCTGCTACCAGCTCCCTCTAGCTGTCCCCTTCTGGAGTGCTTCCCAGGGGTCGGATTGAATGTGGAGGTGAGTGTGACCCTCCCAGGCACTGGTGAGGGCCAACATGAAGGCTGGCTCAGGTTTCCATCAACACTCCATCACTCAGTTCCTCAGCACAGAGAACTTGGAAGCGTTTCCTGAGTGCTTGGAGACACAGAAATGGGGAATTATAGAACATAGAAGAAAATGGGTATTCTAAAACAAATATTCTGCTATGCTTGAGAAACTGCAAAAGTGTGGTTGACACATGTACATGTGGGAAATGTTTCTTCCAAATTGAAGAAATCTCTAAATTGTGGCTCTTCCAAGCACACACTTTGAGGTGGGCTTACAATTCGCGATCACTGACTCTGTGCATTAACTCTGCTGATGGCTCAACTGTGTAAGTGCTAGGGTTCAAAAACCCACCCCTTCCACTGCTGATATGTGGCTAAACACTACATCTCACAAAAGGAGAGGTCCCTGGCACCAGAGACAATGTAAAAGTGACCCCGGGGTCCTGCTGTTCTATCCACAGCCTCTGAAGCTAAGAATTAAGTGCCTCTCCTTTCCTGAGAGCTCACATTTCTAACACTGCAGAGCTGCCTTGTTCCCAAGATCTTTCTGGGTTTGCAGCAGAGATGGCTGGAGTGAGTTGTGTTGTTCTGTCTTTGTCAACCAGACTGGAGGAACTCAGTTGTATGTTGAATGCACCGAGATGTTGAAAAGTGGTGATTCACAACCAGAAAAGTAACTAAGACCATTTGTAAACATCCTGAATGTAAAGATTTTAAAAAGTTCACTTTGGCATAATTAGCCCAAAGCAATAATTCCTAAATTTGTAAAGGGTTCCTGATTACTTGATCACTCTGCCTTGAATTTTGGTCAGTTCTAGTGGGGAAGAAAGTAAATTAGCTAAGTTTGCCATTTTTCTTTCCTCCTTTTATGCTTATGGTTCTCTTCTACTCAGATATATACTGCTTGATGATCTTTTCCCTCATAGTTTCTGCCTTAGCTCAAATGTGTCATTTTTAATATATGCAAATTACTTCATATGCTTTGACACATAATAAATGTTTGTTGACTGAATTGCAAGTAAAAATATTGTCTCTCTCATCCTTGCATTAATTGTGATGCAGTTTCTGAAGTTATAAACTAAATTTCAAGTGTTATTTTGATGACAAGATTTTCACAGATACTTTCCAGTGTCCCTGAAATGTCTATTCAGTCTGTCGTAGCCCAGGGTCTCTGAATATCTATTTCTTAAAATCTTTTACACACCAGCTCATTAATCATCCACCATAAGACTGAATAGTTTAGTATGACTTAGTTAAAATATTTTTTTACTTTGAATTCAAATATGAACTCAGTATGTTAATATTCATTATCACAAACATCTGAAGTTCTACTCGGCAGCTTGATGCTTTTGAATAGTTAAATACCAGAGAATAATTTAATTATTACTTGAGTAACACAGTATATTACTATAAAAACTATTCCCAAATATAAGGTCTTTCTTGGGGAAAATAGATGTTTAATAATGAAAAGGTTAGAAATTCATAACCTAGATCAAAACTTTTAAGGTGAAATAATAACACTAATGATGATGATAAAAGTTTAAAATATGCTTGCTATGTTCCAAGCACTGAGCTAACATTAGCTAATTCTAAGTCCTCTCCTCATCCTCCTCCCCATGCCAAAAGAAGAAAAAGGAAAGAAAACATGGAGAATGGCAGAATGATTTTCCTCACAGTTTAACTGTACAGGTGAAAAAAGATGTTAGTAAGGCTGAAACCAATACTTAAGACATCTTGTATACTTAATAATTGGCCAGAAGAGTTTATATGACTTTGGTGTGTAACCCAATGATCCAAATTACTCTAATTTTCCAATTAATTGCTGTATATCTCCATCATTTTGTGCATTTTGTTATGCTTGTTATGTTTTGTTAAGGATAAATGTCTATCTCTTTCTTTCATATAAATGTTCCTTGCAGTGTGAAATTCCAAAGGAAGCACTGATTCCTTTGTAAATGCACATGACAGGATGCATCTCATCTGATGGCGGGTACCTGCCTCTACCCCGCACCCCCATCTGATACACAGCCTCTTCTAGAAGGAGCCAGGGAGAGACGGTGTATAATTACTTGTCCGGTGAGGTTTTAAATTGTGTAACTGTCTATCTACAAAGGGAACATGGCCATTCATTCTTCCCCAGGTCAGTACATGATAAGAACTTTGGGAAGTGTAAAGAACTTTGAGATGGTTTAAAATGAATGACCTAGAGAGCCAGTGATTTATGTCCACTATCTGATTTTCGCTGAGAAAATAACTAATTTCCCAAGCCTGCAAACAAAGAAAATGAAACAAACAACAAATTTTATAGATGATGCTAAAAACACTCTAGATTCAAAAAAATGATATATTCCGTCTGAGCCAATTGTCACATCTTTAACCCTTCCATCTGTTGGTACACATTAGAAAGAGAAGGATAAAAATCCAAACTGTATCGAGGCTGTTAGCTGGGTAATTTGATTTTCATGTTTTTGTGAGCTGGTAAAGCATGCTTGCCTCTCTGTGTGGAAGCATTGAGGCTGGCAATTAACCCTGTTCCCTTTAGCAGTCACATTTATCTTGGGACCTTGCTCCCGCTCCCCTTGGGCTGGGCACTATGCTAATGAATTTGCTGGGCTCCAGTAATGTGGAATCTGAAAGGTAGCAGCCAGGAAGGTGTGGGCTTTTCTCTTTAAATATATCTTGGTTCATAACAATTGGACAGATCAGAAAACAGCATTTAGAGATACTATTTAAATGACATTCAAGAAGCTTTCCTTTTTTTAAATACAGTTTTCCTATTTTTCCAGCCTTGCTGAGGTGTAATCAAGAAGTTTTCTTTATATGAGATGCAGAGAGTTATACGAAAACAGAAATGAAGAAATGTAGTCAATATGTGAACTATTACAAAGATTATTTTGATTATGAAAAACTCTATGCTTGTGGGAGGAAGTCTGAATGTCTCCTCAGAGGCCCCCCTCAGTTCTGCTGACAGGTGCCATCCCATTGATAAGAACCCCAGGTGCACGTTTAGGTGAAAATACAGTGTATTTTGAGTGGTTGCAACCAACGCAGGTGCTAACGGTCCTGGTGAATATGGATGTGCTGGTTCCTGCTGCTGAGCCTAGATCTCATACCAGATAGGAAATTGGGTGGAGGAGACCACAAGCTTGCAATCTATGCCCCCTAAGCCCACTTTCCAATTTTACATCCAACAAAGATCTTGGCACTTCTCAGTCCCATTGTCTCACATTGGGATGCTGGGATGCTGCAAAGTCTTTGAAGGGATGTGTAGTAGACAACTTGAGCTGTTCGTGTCCATGCAGAAGTGGAGCAGGACAGAGGTAGAAGTCCTTACCTACTTGATATTTCCTTGGCAGCACGAGAATCCTATTTTTTGCTCTGATTACTACCAAAGCACAAATATCGCATACTTATCTGTTTTTCTTTAAACCCTACCTGCTTGACCTTATCCTAATAATCCTGCCCACCTCCACTCTTAGGAAATCAAGTCAGGTTCCATCTCATAGCCACAGCCTTATTCTATCTATTAAGTCAATAATAACTATCAGCTCAATTTCTCTTTTGTACACTTTTTTTTTTTAGCACCAGAGATCAAACTCAGGACCTTGCACTTACAAGGCAGGGGCAGTACTGCTGATCTACATCCCCAGCCCTCACTATCTCTTTAAAATAATAATTTTATATGACAAATCAATCATAGCTAAAAATTTAGATGGCAAAAACCATTTATCTATCCTTATATTCAACAACCATCTACAATCTATGATGTATTATTTCTGGGCTTGGAGCCAATGGTTTCTCTGAGACTCCATCTGATTGGCATGGGAGAGTAAATAGCAGGAAGAATTATTCTTTGCCAGGTCTCATAACCTCTCCCGGTGCTTGAAAAGACTCATGAGTCATCTAGAAATAAATATACAAAACAGATGAAGTTCTCATTTATAATGTAGTTTTCTAAAGCAGAATTTCACCTAGCACTGTGTTAGAGGAACTAACTTCTTTTACCAAGTCACTTTACCCAGGTAAGTTATCAGGATGACTTCTTTTATAAAATCAGTTTTATTGGTACATTTAAGGTATACAATATAATGACACTCATCATTGGAAATTTGCACCTTTACATAATCCATCTGGGTTCTTATTTTTTCCCCATTCCCCTGCCTTCCTTTCAACCCCTTCACCCCACTCTATCTACACTTTATTTCCATTTTTTTCATTTTCTCATACTAATTCCATTCCCTTCTTTCTTTTCCCCTACCTTACCCCTCCCACTTTCTCTTCCCCTTTGCACCTTCAGAATGATGGGGGGTGGGGGGAGACACACACACACACACACACACACACACACACACACAAATCCCCCTGCCTACAAGTTTTCAGCCTACTCTGGGTCTCAGCAACTAGCAGCGCTCTCCATTGACCACTAGGCTTAACTGGGGTTTGTGTCCCTTCTGGAGATGTTCACAGACTGTCTTAAACAGCAGGAAAAGAACCTTTCATCCTCAGTCCAAGTACTAGCTTTGATTAGAATGGTCTTCCTGATATTTCCTGCGATGGCCAAGGGTAGGAAGCTCACTAAAAGACTTTCCCTTGATTATTTGAAACATGAATCCAGCAGTGAAATATTTCCAAATGTAGCACAGCTCTCTCTGCCTCCTTTTTGCATTTGTCATGTAGCACCATCAAACAGAATTATTGATTTTCAGAGTATGAAGGAGCCATAAAGGGCCAGATCAGTATCTTCCCTGGTGTTCTTGTATTATGGAACCCCTGTCATAATAAAGCCAGCCGGTGCCCAGCTTATGATTGGATTCCATAAATGAAAGGAAACTCAGAATTTATGCTCACATGCCACTGAGAAAACATTACAGCTACCTGACTCATTATTTGAGAATGCAACATGCCAGGGATGACACATATCAGGCTCCTTTAAGTCTGACACATTTCTACTATTAAAAAAAAAAATGTTAAGCTTCACAGTAGTGGTGCAGAGAGGGGAAAAGCCCCTTTACAAATGTCTTTTTCCTTAAAAGAAAGAATATAGAGCACTCATGAAATAGTAATTAATGCCCAGCATGAGGTGTATTGGTAAGAATAATAACAGTAAATACATCCCCTCAAATTGACTATTCTATAGAAAATATTTATTCTTGCTATTGTTATTATTATTGCATTACTGCCAATAATTGTGATAGGTTATGTGCTAAGAGACTAGGCTTTTGGTGTAACAAAGCAAGAATATATAGAAAGAGCCCTAAAGGAGACTGAGAGACCCTCTCACTGCCTACCACCGGGTCCCCATTCATTGCCTCCCCACACTAACCTTTTAATTTGCATTCCTGAACTAACCATGTAGTGCAGATTGTTGGCCCCTGCCACTCATGACAGGTAGGGGTTAATTCAGTAGGCCCAGTGGTGCTGCCCACCAGCCCAACCTCAGCCCTCAGCCTCTTCTGTGCACCACACTGTCCTGCCGTCCTCCCGCCTGTGGCCTGACACAGATCTGGAGCCAATGGTTTCTCTGAGACTCCATCTGATTGGCATGGGAGAGTAAATAGCAGGAAGAATATTCTTTGCCAGGTCTCATAACCTCTCCCGGTGCTTGAAAAGACTCATGAACTCAGGGCACATGTTAGCATGGCCTCACTGCACACACAGAATTAAGGCCCAATAGGGCCAGAATGAGTGGCTCAGTGACACAAAGATTAAATTCTCATGGGCAGAAGCTGGTGGCGGGATGGGCAGTAAGCAAATATGATGAAACACACGAGTAGAAGAGAACATAAACTTGCAAATGGAGGGCACACTGGTAGGCATCAGGGAGGGTCAGGGCATCATCACACTTGCCAGCAGTCACGTTTCTACCTTGTTACTCTTAGCACCTAGCTTATCTCTGGGTATGCTAGGTCTCTGGTTTCTTCTAAGACCTGATCTCTCTGCCTTTCCAGGTGGCAGTCATGTGCACAGAATCGAGCATGCACAATTCTTGAATCTACCTATTTCAAAATTACCAGAGGCACCCTGTACTTTCAAACTTCTCCATATTTAGGCCTGCTCTTCTTCCATCTGGCAGAATACTGTGTGAATTATCAAGGTTTATGACAAAGACCCCATCTCTTTTTGTTTTGAAAATTTGATGGGTAAAATACAATTTGATTGGTACATATTCAGTATACATAATGATCACATTCATCATAGAGAGTTTGTTCCTGTGCGTAATATATCCTGATTCTTTTTTCCCATTCTCCTCCCCTCCTTTCAGCCATTTTTCCTTTCCTTATTTACAAAAGTTTTGTTTCATTGTTTCTTCTATTCATTTTATTTCTTTTTCCTTTCCCCCACTCCCTTGTACCCCTTCCCATTTGAACATTTTCTCCCCATCGCCAGTATGTATCATACATTTTGGTCCTTATTTATACTTTTGGTCTTATGCACAAGAGAAGTAACGCTATATTTGAACATGTGTGACCCATCTGTTTTACGTAAATGCATGGCCTCAAGATGCATCCATTTACTTGGAAATGCCTCAACTTTATCCTTCTTTATCCATTGTGTAAAAATAACCACATCATGTTTATCCATTAATCTACTGATGGACATTTGGGCTGTTTCCAAGAGTTAGCTATTACAAACTGCATGGCTAAAAACATGGGTGTGCATATAGTATTGTGGTATGATACATTTGCTTCTTTTGGCAAGACACCAAGTGGGAAAATAGCTGGGTCAAATGTAATTTCTAGCTTTAGCTTTTTGAGGTATCTCCACACTGATTTCTATAGTGGCTGCACCAGTCTACATGCCCATCTACAGTGGAGAAGAGTTCCTTCTTCCCCAAAAACCTTCCAGCATTTGTTACTGGTTGATTTCTTGATATAGCCATTCTTCCTTTAGTGAGCTGAAATCTCAATGTTGTAAAACTTTCCCCTCTCGAATGACCAGGAATGCTGAAAATTTTTTTCATATACTTAGTTGTCATTTGTACTTTGTGTGAGAAGTATCTATTTATTTCAGATGCCCGTTTTTGTGTAAGGTTTTAAATTTGGGGGGGGTTCAATTTTTTTTAGTTCTTTATATATTCTAGATATCAATCCTTCTCTGAGGAACAGCTGGCAAAACTTTTTACCCACTCTGTGGTTGAAA